TTTTTTTTTTTTTTTTTTTTTTTTCTGATTCTAAATTCTGTTTTCATGTTATCTCATTTTGTAGTGGTGGACTGTGATTTGGTTTCATCTCTGATGGATCTGTGTTTGCTTTTGCTGAATTATTTGAATTTGGATCTTCTGTTTGTTTTAATTAGATTTCATTTCTAGATCTGCTTCGACTGTTATATCGTGTTTTCGTGGTTTTTGTTTTATGCTGCCTTGATCGTGGTTTTTTCTTTTGTTTTCTTGTGGATCTGTTGTAGTTTTTGTTGACTTGTTTAATTAGGATGAAATTGCTACTGCTGTTAATGTGTGATTGGTGCGAGTCCTAAGTTTTTGAGTCTCTGACGTGATGCTGTTCGATTTGCAGTGTATTTCGTTGCGTCTTCTGTAAACCATGGGATTTGTGTAGATGTGATCCAATTTTCATGGAAGCTGAGGGATAAAGGTTTTCGCAGAAGTCGTGTAAGGAAATTCGTGACAAATGGCTCCATCCAGCAAAGCGGACAAGAAAGCGGCTGTAGATGCAGCCGCGTGGATGTTTAACGTTGTAACTTCTGTTGGAATTATAATCGTCAACAAGGCTCTCATGGCTACCTATGGCTTCAGCTTCGGTAATTATTTTCATCACTTCCGTTCCTATCATTTACTGTATTTATACCATCTTTGTGTTTCATCACCTAGATAGAGATTAGGGGTTACTTGCTGGAATTGTCTGTGGTAGCTCAAGAATTTAACGACGTTTTATTATTCTCAAGTATGGTCTATGAATTATGATTTTCATTCTCCATTTTTTCTTTTTTTTTTTTTTTGTGCATTATCAGTCTTGTCATTTCCTGTTTTAAGAAGGTTCCTACCATCTTTAGTAACTCCTGTTTGTTTTCTGCCGCTGTCCATGTGATAGCTTGAGAAATCATAAGATTCTCAAGTACCACTGTCATCCACTGTCTAAATTTGCACACTTGCAGATCCTTCTTAAAGCAAGATTTTAACCTATATCTTTAGTTAACCTAATAATGGACTGACATAGCTGTAATCTGTACGTAATGAGACAGTTATGCATGTGCTCTCTCCCTCTCTACCTCTCCCTAGAAAATTATTAGATTAACTAAAAATGGAAAAATGATGGGATGACTAGATAATGTTCTTCCAAACCAAAGCCTAGGAGATTAAACGGAACCTCTCTTGGTGGCTTGACTTAAAAATAGATTAGTTACAGAATGCGTGGGATAGGTGCTCACAATTAAAAGCTGCTGCTGACTTTTGTTGCTTATCAATAACTGGATATATGTTTTTGGATTTCTCTGAAATATTCGTTTTTACCAAAATAAAGTCATCCCACAATGTTATCTTTTCTAAGTGAGCTTCAGCTTGTTAATTTTTTTGAACAAAAAAAGTATGTGAACTGAAATTGTCAAAGAATAATGTCGTGTGGCATGTATCAAACATCGGGGGAATGCCTTTGAGTATTAATCTTGTAGAGAGAGGTTAACTGATGCTTTGAACGAGTGAGTTTTCCTGTGTATAAAACATCTCAGTGACAGTGTTGGGAAACACAAGAGTGTTCTTATTATTAATCATGTTATTCTTGTTAATATATTGAACTCTTTCCTGTTTTGCAAAAAAAAAAAAAAAATATATATATATATATATATATATATATATAGTGGGCAAATGTTGTATGCGTTATTGCTTCAAGCACTTCTTGTATTCAAGTTTAATGGCAAATTTTTTAAGAGTAAAACTAAAAATTTACAATATATAAGAAAGGAACAGGTAAAAAATTTCAGTCCAATTGCTCTAGTTTGATTATGAACCTAGCAAAAGTAGGTATGGCGTACGAGTCTCTTTAAGTATGAAGTTTGGTAATTGATGATGGAAAATTTTAGGTCATAATAGTGATCATTTAATTACATTCATAAGATGCTGCTCGTTGGTTGTCTGTTTCTAATTATGCATACAACATTATCTTGCAGCCACAACCTTAACAGGTTTGCATTTTGCGACGACCACCCTGATGACTGTTATTCTAAGGTGGCTTGGTTATATCCAAGCCTCCCATCTCCCTCTACCAGAGCTTCTTAAATTTGTACTATTTGCCAACTTTTCTATTGTTGGAATGAATGTTAGCCTGATGTGGAATTCAGTGGGATTTTATCAGGTAAATCTAACTCTTAGTTTGCTTCTTTTATCAGGCTATCATAACTACTCTAATCTCGACGTTCATATCGTTCTTTTTCTGTTGTCAGATTGCCAAGTTGAGTATGATACCCGTCTCTTGCTTATTGGAAGTGGTCTTGGACAAGATTCGATACTCCCGAGACACGAAGTTGAGCATTGCAGTAGTTCTCTTGGGTGTTGGAGTATGCACTGTAACTGATGTCAGTGTCAATACCAAAGGCTTTATTGCTGCCATTATCGCTGTATGGAGCACCTCCCTGCAGCAATACGTGAGTTATTCACATTCCTCTAACACCTATCTCTAAATCTTTTTTCGTTTTCGGGTAAAACTTTGATCTACTTCATTTATCTCTAAATCTTGATAAATCCATTGATAAATCCTTGATCTGCAGTATGTGCATTTTCTCCAACGGAAGTATTCGCTTAGTTCGTTCAACCTGTTAGGACATACTGCTCCAGCACAGGCTGCATCGCTTCTACTCATAGGGCCCTTTCTGGATTACTGGTTGACAAGAACAAGGGTAGATCAATATGACTACAATTTACCCTCTACGGTAAGTTCCTATTACTTCCCTTTTGTTCTCAAAAGCATTGATGATCTGATTTATATCTTTTTTCATTGTTCTTTTATATGCTTCATGAACTTGCTTGCTCAATACTTTCCGTTTTTTGCCACATTCACAGATTTTCATAATTCTCTCCTGCTCCATAGCCGTGGGGACCAATCTTAGCCAGTTTATCTGCATAGGCAGATTCACAGCTGTGTCATTTCAAGTTCTTGGCCACATGAAGACAATCCTTGTATTGGTAATGGGATTCTTCTTTTTTGGGAAGGAGGGGCTTAACATGCAGGTAGTTTTGGGAATGGTCATAGCTGTGATTGGGATGATCTGGTATGGAAATGCCTCGTCGAAACCCGGTGGAAAAGAACGTCGGAGCCACTCGCTCCCGACTACTAGACAACAAAAGCATGGAGGTGGTGGTGGTATATCAGATTCGACTGAACATGGTGGGAAGGTCTAAAAAGGAGTTGGCTCATTCCAAAAAGAAAATTTTAATTTAATTTAATTTGCTGAGTCAGTTTAGAATGACGATCTTATCTTTTTCATATTTATTCATCCTCCCACGTCTAATTTTCATTTTTTTTTTTCACAGTATTCGATTTGTGAGAGGGCATTGTGTAATTCAGGATAGGGGAAAGTTTTCTTGGAATTTTCAATTTTTTTCTTTTTTTTTTTTAAATTATGATCACAGAATCACAGCCTACTAATTTTGGCCATAAACATTTACTATCATGCTATCTTGTGCTGACATCTTTGTTGGTGACACCAGAGAATTTGATTTTCAACTGCTTCCACCAATGTTAACATACCTCTATATCTATATATATATATCTATATATATATACCTCTATATCTATATATATATATCTATATATATATATATCTATATCTATATATATATAAAGATATATATATACACACACACAATTTAGGACATTTTATCATGCACCTATTTAATTAGAAATGAATGAACCTACATGTATCTAGTCATACATATCCTTATACATGTATCTATATGTGCACAAGTAACCGTTCAACACATGTATCTATTCATACATGTAATCTATAAGTGATCCTTTAACACATGTATCTATTCATACATGTTTAAATATATACATGATCTACTAGTGACCCTTCAACAATCTTTACCTAACACATTTTTTCGACGAAAAAGGAACTGTGAGCTGTTGACGACATCTATCTCAAGAGAGAAAAACGGGTTAGAAAAATTGTTCATGTGGCATCATTTACGGAAACGGTAAAACAGATGGATGCAAACTGTGGACTACTATTTATACATTAAATTAATGAGCAAAAGAGGCTAAATATTAAATTTTGTTGTTTAAATGTTACATTGATTCTTAAAGGATATTATTTTTTTGGGCAAAAATCAATTTCAATATCAATTTACATTAGATTTCAATTGAAAAAAGTTCTGATTACACTTCTATATTATCTCTTCAACTCATTAATAACTCTTCAACTCATTAATAAGTTATGTATCCAATATTCAGGATAATCCGATTCAAGACAATCCAAAGTTGGCTTTGACTCACTCAGGGTTGAGAAAGTGTCGTACACGACTCACTCAGTGAGTGTGAGTGTCGTGCCATTGCCAAATCCGCTCGACTCACTCAGTGAGTGCGAGTGTCGTGCCATTGCCAAATCCGCTAACAAAATTGTGGCATAGCCTTGGATTGAATCAGTTCTCAGAGGTGCTATTAAAAAAATATATATATATTTAAAAAAACAAAGGATTCAACAACCTAGGAATCATGATCAGGTTAAGTAAAACAATGAATCTCAGAGAAGATTGATGAACCCCAAGACCAAAAGAAAGGACGAGAAAGAAAGCATGGCAGAGCAGAGCAGATGGGAGGCATAATTGACAGAAAAACAAATAAACTCAACCGGGATATCTCAATCTCTATTATAACGACCAAAAATGAATGACCCATAAGAAATACAACCTGGCAAAGGTTTTCAAAACCCAGCCAAATCCAAAGACGTCCACCAAGCCAATCTCAAAGACTAATTATATTAACCTATTGCATTCAACAGAAGAAGCTTGGAAAACAAAAAGGAGAGCAGAAATTTAACGCTTCTTAGAGACACCAACAGTCTTCCCTCGGCGCCCGGTAGTCTTGGTGTGCTGACCACGGACACGAAGACCCCAGTAGTGCCTCAAACCACGGTGGTTCCTGCACAAGATTGATCACAGAATATACACATTAATACCGTATTAACGTTGACGAAACATGTTCGCCTCATCTCTCGCACACAAAAAAGAAGATAATAAGCAGACCCGGAAACAGGTCACTTCAACTAATTTTTAGGTGAAGATTGAAGCAGAACGCAAGTTGAAAAACCCGTCAACCTATTGGCTCTGATTTAACAAGAACGATTAACTATTCCTACATATAACCCGAAGAGCTTGAGAATTAACAGATTCACCATTGTTCAAAATCGACAACACAAATGACATAGTTGTTTATGTTTGCAATCCAATAGATATTATAAAGTGTAAAGCTAAGAAACTTCCGAACTCTGAAGAAAATTATCGATTCCTACATCTTAACACCATACTAAAATCCCTTTGTTTAAAGGATTGATCTGTGACAACGTCGCGAAAGGACAACACCAAGTTAAAGGCTTATATCCTAGGGAGCCTAGTAACCTAGTAATTGGTGTTCAATCTGCACTGTAAGCAAATCTAAGAGTTAACTAAGATATACATATATTGCTAATAACAATCAATCACCTGATCTTCTTCAAACGCTCCAAGTCGTCCCTCAGCTTCATGTCGAGAGCATTTGACACCACCTGTGAATACTTGCCATCCTTGTAGTCCTTCTGTCTATTCAAAAACCAGTCAGGAATTTTGAACTGTCGGGGGTTGGCAACAACGACCATGAGATTGTCCAGCTCCGCAGCAGTCAACTCACCAGCCCTACGGCAAAAGAAGCAAACATTTAAAACACAAAACTTACACGATAGATTACAAAAATATAAACAACATAGAACAATTAACTACACACGCAAATTTCGAGTGAGAAATGACATATAACTTCAATTTTTTTCTTTTCCTGTACTCATTGAACTAGAAAATTTGCCTTAAATCCTATCAAAATTCCATATAAATCAATGGAACTTGAGAGCACCTGAAATAGATTATCAAGCAGTGGACCAAGAGCTTGTGGGACTATTCTAACAATAATTAATGGATTGAAGAACACGAATCCAATGAGAACAAGTCCAAATATCTCACATGAAAAGTTCTCTTTACGATCTCATGAATATAACAACGAAAGAGCAAGCATTCATTGAATCTGCATACATGAACAATAAAAGAAGAAAAATACCTTTTGTTCATGTCAACATCGGCTTTTTTGCATACCATGTTGGCCAAACGCCTTCCAATACCTTTGATGGAAGTAAGAGCGAACATAATCTTCTGCTTTCCATCAACGTTTGTGTTGAGCACACGCAATATGTGCTGGAAATCTTCGTTCGCTACCAACGACTGAAACGACGATAAAAAAAAAATGTCACGGACTTCGAATACAGACACAGATTGATCCAAGTACGAAGAATAGAACGATAATGGTTGAGCGTTAGGGCTTACCATTTTGACGGAAGAGGGCGCGCGGATTCCTCCTGATGCTTCTTCTCTCTGAAGCCGCAACGCAACGAACGCCTTAACCACTGAAGAAGCTGAAAATGAGGAATTTATAGTAGGGCTCTTCTTCTTCTAGGGCTGAAGGCTCCTATGAAAAGTCCGATTTACCCTTTACTTAATTTATAATACCTGTTCTGGACATTTTTTGTTCGGCCCATTTGGCAGGCCTGGTTTTCGTTTAAGGCCGGCCCATTTACTAAGAATTAATATTAAAATATGAAATCAAATAAAACAATATACTAACCTTTAAAAATTAAAATATCATATAAAACAACTATTTCTATGACATAAATTAAAATTTGGATTTGGGTATTTAATTACATTAAAATTTTAATTTGAACCTGATACGTAGGGGTAGGAATCGTAAGTATCATGTTTAGACAACGGTATATCAATTTTTGTAATATATATATATATATATATTTATTTATATATATATTTATATATTACGAGATTATAGCAAAAATCAATTTATAGACTCTAAATTTGTTTAACGATGCATTAATTCAAACTCTCCATTAATAATTGTATCGATTAAAACCTTAAATTTTTATAGATGTATTAATTTAGACTGTATATCTGTGTAAAAAATATTAGTAGTAAAATTGATACTACTCTTTTTCTATATTAAAATATTTGCAATTGATACTACTCTTTTCTGTATTCAAATTTTTATGTTTCTAAAATTCTGTATTCAAATTTTTATGCTTCTAAAATCAATTAGATGTTTTATTTGAAAACCATCATGTATATAGATATGTTCAAACCTTAAATTAATGAAATTAGCAATTTTTTATCTCCTATTATACTCTAATTTAAAGTTTAAATTAATATAAAGTTTGGGATAAGTCCATATACTTTTAATATTTTCATTATCGTATTAAGTCCATTTACATAAGAACAAAGATAAAAATTATGTTTGTTTACTTTCTTTAAGAATTATCATTTTTTTTTCAAGCCAACAGTCCACTTTCATTAACTTTGAATTTTTTTTTCTTAAAACTAGAATATCATTTTAATTGTTTCAAAAGAATAATAATATTATAATAAATACTCTCTCTATATATATTATAGATCCTACGTTTGTAGGGTCATAATTAGAGCAGAGATACAAATGGTAAAAATAGGACTCATTTCATATCTCATAGGTTTCAGCAAATTGGCAAAACCTGGTAAACAGTACTTACAAGTCCGATCTCCTTGCCTGCTTCGGGCTGATGGTTAGCTTCAAAAGTGTACACCTCGACCCGAAGAAGAAAAGGGCACCAAATGTCAGGGTCACGTGGCAGCCGAGGTCGGCCGAGGTCGGCCTTCCTATCGATAGCCTCATTGGTTGAACTAAATGTAGACAAATCAACATGTCTTCCTCAAAATATTTTGCTCCAACTAAACAACCAAAACCAACGACAGCATGGCATGAACAAAATATATGAACCTGAAAACCCTTAAACTTTTCGTAGCTGCAAAACCGACCGGGTCGATAATAACTAGGAATCAAATGGGGGTAACATATGCAGTTACCTAGAGAAACAAGAACCACAGTAGATGAAATCCCTGCAAGTTCAAGCTACTCTTAACTCATTTCATGTAAGAAAGAGCCAAATTACATGAGCTAGACCAATCACTGAAATACGACGGGTTTATAACGTAAAAAAACCGACACGACTGGATAACAAGATAGGTGAGACTTGGTTGCCCTGTCATAGTGTTACTGTACATGATCATCTCATCATATGAAAAGTACCAACCTCTGACCAGAATAAGGAACTATAATGACATTATGAGATCTTACTTTTCAAACAGAATGAGAAAAATTAGCAATAGCTAATAAGAAACCTGTTTCTTTCAAATCAATCGATACTTACGATTTCTCTATGTAGGCCCTCTCGCTTGTTGTCCGAGTACATTTGGTACTAAAAGCTTAGTTAATTTCACAAAGAAATGGAGCAGCCTAATTCTTTGGCAGCAACATGTAGAATATCGATTGGCAATCCGGTTACAAGGCGACTACGAGCTTCCCAGGTCAAGCACTGTTCAAGGTCAGCTTTCCAGTTAATAGGTTCTGTATTGAAGTACTGATAAGAGGGACCGTGGACACCGTTTATGTTCTTCGGTTTAAATCTACAGATATCTGAACCTGTTTGCAAAATATCGCGAAGAACCAATGTACTCAAAGTACGAACATGTGCACTCGGGTGAGAAAGGCACCAAACCGTAGCTGGTAGACGACACTGTATGGACAAAATCATTTCGATCAATGTGTCGTTAATCGACAAGTGGCGTTATGGTTTCTGATTTCAGAGGCATAATAAATTTGACTGGTCTAAATGTCTTCTCCTGTTTCCTCAAATCAGAATGCATTTGAGAACACTTGAGAAGTGGAAAGATATTACCTTCAAAAGGTTGGCGAGACCATAGGCGATCGACAACCCAGATTCTCCCCACTCCAGCACCGGACGAACTGCTCGAGCTGTTGCTTCTAGGAGCTGTCCACATAAATAAGAAGTTAGCACCAGTAGATAGCTAAGTTCTTCCCTCCCACAGCACCTCACTCATTTTTTCTTCCTAAAGACTAGATTGCTTTCACTTTTTAAACTTTCCCTCTAGAAGCCTATGTTAAGTCAAGAAACTTTTAAGGTCAGATTTTAATATCACCTCCAGTTGGGGTAAAGTGCAAGCTTCTCCATCTACCAGCAATCCATCTGTAGCACGTAAAAGAAGGTCGGATGCGCTTGCTAAAGTTACTAATGATTCCGGTATATCATGGTTTCTCATGAGTTCAACAATCAATTTGATGATCCGCTGGTTGATCCTCCACATCTTCTGCCCTTGATTATCATCTTTAGCAATCCAAGGCTGGAATTCTCTATCAGCCTGCAATCCAAGAAAGCAAGAGTACTTATAATAGATGAAGCAATGAACAGAGATAAGGCCACTTCAAGCACCATCTTGATTAGACCTCCTCAAATACGAAAGATATTTTAAGAAATCTTTTGTCTCTAGACACACATCTTTGGCTACATGGAAAATGGCATTCATCATCAGTATACAATTTCTATAAACTAATGAAATTAACGTATTTATTTACCAAGTAAGAACAGGAATCAAGAAAGTTTTAATGAAAAGAATATAAAAATAAATTGAAATAACGAGCAGGTTGAATAGAAAATAGACCTGGAGTACAACAGCTGCAGCTGCTTTTGCCGGGGATGCAGATACAACATTGCATAGTGCATCAACTACCTATAAAATTAAAGCAAGATCAAAATAAACAGTTGACTATAATTTATGCATTAAAAAATATCATTTAATGTGGAGGGGAGATGAATCTTTTTTCTCTAAGTGCCATTAAATGATTAGTTTATGAGTGGTTTTCATATAATCCTTTAATGTTTGGTTTTACACTTCAAAAATGAAAGACAAAGACATGTTTGGGAGTGATTTTTAACATGGCAAAAATAATTGTAGCCATTTCCAAATCACTCTCAAACATGTTCTAAGTAGATGCATTGCCTATGCTGGTATAAGTTGAAGAAGAATTCATCTGCCTTATGATCTCTCAATACTTAAAACCAGAAATATAATGGGCAGAAAGAAGGCAACAGTTAGCTTACCTGTCTCCATCCCTGTTGGGCAGACGTGCCCTCTGCACTTGGTTGAGTTTCGGGTGTCGCGATTAACTTGTGCCATAGAAGTGAAACAACAGAGAAGCATAACTCTTGCTTCTCTGCTAACACTGATCTCAAAAGAATTTGTGCACATCCATTGAATCCTATGTGCCTATCAATTGTGAGAAAATTTGCCAGTTCAGAAGCATCTAACTGGAAACTCGCTATACGTTTGCCTAACGTATTTTCCAAGTCAATATTTGAATCTGACGATCTTTCAAATGAAAGTTTCGCTGTAACATGGCATGGCTCTTCACATTTAGGGATAGACTGCTGACCAGTCTCACAGTAAACATGATCATCTAGTTGAGTTGGCTTTTGGCCTGCTGAAGATACGCGAGAGTATTCAGAAATTGGTGCAGACACCAAATGCACTTCTAATGGCTCAGCCCTATTGACAATAGATGCAACAGCTTTGCTGTGAATATCAATGAGGTTGTACAGCGATGATGCCCGGGTGTAAATTTCTTTGTCCCACTTGCACCGCATCAAAACAGAGAGGGCATGCATGCAAGCTCTTGACCGTCGAAATAGTTCTGAAACATGAGCAGCAACCATAGCTGCAGCGACTATTTCATTTGAACTGTAGCTCCAGGACGTTCCTAGAGATGAAGGCTTTAGAGAGAAAAGAGCCTCCAAAATTGATAAGATTCTATGAGTATGGCGAATTGCTGAGTCAATGCTACTTTGAAGTTCAAAAGAAGATCCATTTATTTTGACCAACTTGGCAACATCTTGCAAGCCTTTAAAACGCAAATGCTTCCTTCCCCGTGACATCAATGGAAACAGCTGCAATTCACAAGAAAGAGCACAAACAGCTGCAAGAACATAAGAATCAAAAGCTGATACAGCTCCTTGTTTATTCATCCTACTTTTTGTTTCTCTTCTTTCTCTGGAAGTGTCTTGATTTTGCTCGAGCCTCTCTTCCTGAAAATTACCACTGTCACTTCTTCTTTTCTTTCTCCCGTTTGACTGAGCTTCATGACTAACACAAACGGTTAACACAACAAAAAGTAGGCGTGAAGCAAGCTCTTCAGAAGCACACGATTCTAAGAAAAGAGAGTGAACCATCATTCGAAGCTCAGATATAGAAAGGTTTTTAGAGGCGGATCCAATTCCAGAAAGATATTTGAGTTTCCTTGTACGCTCTGTTGAAGACTCGGATGGAAATGCTCTTTGAAGAATTGCTTCTACAGTAGCGACAAATATCTTCATCAAACATGCTTCGGATGGACTACCACGAGGAAGATATTCAAGGACTTTAAGAAGTGGTATGTACAAATTCCATGATAATAGGGGTGGTTGTAGTGGTGTTGCAACAACAATTTCTGGAAGATCAACTGCAGAAGAACTTAACG